GGAACCTGGAGCCGCTGCCCTTCCTGCTCAGGGCGAGCAAGCCCTGCTGCTCCAAGCCTCGCTCTAGGAGGGGGGAGCTGGGGCAGGGGACATTGCGAGGTAGTGAGAGTTACATCAGAAACTCTAATGAAAAACTTTGTGGAAAATGTAAGCCAGTAGACGCAGACCGAACACCAGCCAACACGAGAGTCTTCACTGCCCAGGCCCAGCCTTAGAACTGTTCTTTAATAAAACAAAAATGAGGATGGAGGACAGCATTCTTCCCTTCCCTCTCCCTAAACTTAGACCTTCCTATACTCCCCAGAGAAGCTACTGTAAACTCGGATGGTATCTAGTGCATCATTTTATATTCATAAGTATATATTCATGAGCTATAAGTTTTCATCAAAGGTTTAGTATGTTGTTTCACAATATTTTTTGACTGTATATTATTTTCTGTTTGGAAAGAAGGAATAAAAGGGCGGGATTTCATAGAGAAAGAACAAAGGAGAAGAGGTAGTTTTATTACGGCTCTTGGACTTTTGTTTGCATTAGCTCAAAAACAAGCGGGGCCCTTGTTCTGCGTCGTCTTGCCGCGCACGCATGGGTTGGTGCGTCCGGCCGCTTGTCGCGCGCAGGCCCTGGCTGCGAGAGCGCGCACAGGAGCTCCAGCACAGCGCCGAGGAGGAGCGTGTGCGGAGGCCGCCCGGCCGCGCTGCTGGAGGGGCAGCGGCCCCTCACCCTCTCTTTCCCCAGCCCCCTTTTCTCGCGCTCTCTCCTCCCCAGCGGCAGCTGCAAGAGGATGTAGGTCTGGAGACCTGGGGTGAGGTCACCCTGGAGAACCGGACACCTCGGCAGCTACACAAGCCGCTCGGGCTGGGTGTTGCTCCTTCCTGCAGGGCGCTGCTTGCGAAAGGATATATGTTTAGGAAACTTAGCCAGAAAGAAATCCAGTGAAAATGAGCTATGAAACTTGGACATCCTGGAGAAATAATATTTACAGAGGAAACTCTTGAGACGAACTCTCAACAGCCCAGCAAAGCTGGTGCTGGGGCTCATGGGTGGGGGCTGCAGTTGTGTGTTGGGCAGACCTGCAGCTCTTGTCGTCCGTGTAAGGCCTTGCCACGGCCACGAGAGGACGCCACAGAGAGCAGTGGCCGCTCCACTTAGCGCCATGGCAACACAAACAGGCACCATCGAGGGCAGCAGAACTGAAGGGAGCTAGGGCGTGAAAAGCTTTTAAACATCTCCCTTGATTAGCTAAAAAGACCTGCCCTTAGGAAGTATACTTGATAAAATACCTACACAGATAAGTGGTAGGTGGAAAAGAGTGTCAGGCCCTCGTGTCCCTGTGCTCCGTGCTCGCGGAAGCTACCCATGGAGCCCTGCAGGACTGCCCGGCATCCTGCATGTCTAACCTTGGACACCAGGGGGCGCGAGCAGGCTCGGACTGTCCACCCCTAATTGGAACTGTGTGTGGGAGAGGAAAAGGCTCTCTGAGGCCCAAGCCCGAGGTACTCAAGCCCGGTTCTGGTCGTGATTATTTTTCACCGTCCTATAAGCATGGCTTTGAATGCGATACGCTGCCACCAAGCTTCAGCATCTCACCTGCGGGTTGGAGCAGGTGCTGGCAGGGGGGTCAAGTAAGGAAAGCGCAGATAGCGATCGCACTGTCTGCTTCCCACGCATTACAGCCCTTACTATTCACAACAGCTGTAGCTGTAGGTAAGGAAACGGGCCAACGGTCTGCCCAGTGATCACCCGGCTAATACACAGCACAGCCGGCGCTGGAGTACATGTAGTTTGAGTCTAGAGTCCACACTCCTTCATGTTACACCGTTTACACCAAGGCGTGAATTCACGCGATGGCTGGCACACATGGGTGATCAGTAAACGGTTCTCCTCTTCCCCTCTTCTCACACATGCAAGATTATGCTGAGAAATTTTTTCAAATAGGACCATGAAGTGGAATGAAAGTACAGTACACTGAAAAAAAAAAAAAAAAAGCCTCCTGCAGCACCATATAATTTAGCCATCCACAGTGTAGAGCCCAGTGTGTTCACTTACAACCTTAACAGACTGATACAACCATCTCTGCCATCAATTCTGAACATTCTCAAAACTCAACCCTGTGCCCTTTCTCGTAATCCCCCACACCCCCCATGTCCATCCCCACCCCCGTCCAAGCTCTGGCTACTCATAATCCAGCAGACTTGAGAGCAGCGTCCTAGAGGACGAGCCCAAATGCCACTACACCCATAAGGAGACTGTGGCACAGAGAGGTTAAGGAGACACCCCGCGTGCTGGGGCCGAGCTCAGCCTCCAGCCTCCCAACTCGTCTCTCAGTCCCTTCTCTCTTCGTTCCACTGCATTGCTGAGGACGCAAATCATAGCACACAGCTCACTGATGATGGCCCAGCAAAATCACCTCCACCCACACTAGCCCGACACCATTCACTGCACAAATAGATACTGCGGCCTGCACTGATGGGCTGCCAATCCAAAGAGGCACAGGACAAACAGCATCCCTGCCCTTCCTCTCCAGGTGCACCTTCTGCTGGGGAGGCAGAAATAAATGAGCAAAAGCAATACAGCAATTGTTCCTTAAGGGCCTCAGAAAAACAAGGTGTGAGAAAGAGGATGATGTGGGCCCGAGGAGGCTCTGGCAGTGGAGGGGGAGTGAAGGACCCTCTGTGCATAGCAGCCTGGGGTCCTGCATCAGGCTCACAGGGCAGCCCTCCTGAGGAGGGGGTATTAAAGGCTGAGATCCAGAGGAGGAAGAGGAGACTCAGGCTTGTGCAGGAGGAGGAGCTGCCCGGCAGAGCTCAGAGCATGTGCAGGGACTCGAGTGAGTGCCAAAGAGCTTGGTGCACTGAAGCAGGGGAGCAGGCAGAGACGGGAACTGAGAGCACAAGCGGATGCTATCTGAGGCAGGAGCAGCAGGGCCAGCTCTGGGATTGGCACTGTCCTCAGCCTGCTCTGCAGGACCACACTCTCAGAGCCAGCCCGGGAGAGGCACAGGAGGCCTTGTGGGCAAGGAGCTTGGTGGCTTCCAACATTCTTCTGGGAATTCAGGAAGTTCCACTTATCACAGGAAGCAAGTCCAGGGTCTCTGCAGCAGACCTCTGGGGATAAAGAAGTGTGTCTTCAATGGGGGTGATGTCACCATGCATTGCCGGTGGGATGAATCAGAAGGTGTAGAAAACAAATGGCAGTGAGAAAGTACAGGTATCTCCACAGCGTGGGGTCAAATGACTATGGTGAAGTCACATAAAGAAATACAACTCAACTGGCAAAAAAAAAAAAAAAAAAAAAAAGACAGGTTTTTCAGTACAGACATAAACAAAAAAAGCAAGGTATGGAGCAGTGAATCATCTATTATCATTTGTGTAAAACAATGAGAAAGGGTATAAGATGTACTTGACAACACATGCATGTGATCTCTCTAGAGGAATTTACACATCATGGCCCCAAGAGGGACCCCCGCTTGGGTCTCTCTCCACAAGAGAATGTGCACATGTACACGCATGCGCACACACGAAAGGCCAGGACCTCAGCTGCCACTAACCTCCATTGCTATGTGGTGAGAGGCTAAGAGGGCTGGCTGGGGACTCGCCGCTGTCTTTTCTGATACTAACTCCAAGTACAAAACGTATGAATGGATTTCTTTCATATTCAAAGCAATTAAATTTTAAAATGAAACAAAAAAAAAAAAAAAAAAAAAGAGGCATGGGTAGTCTGCTCCTGCCAACGAAAGCCCTGTGTTCCAGCCTCCCTGCCTCTTGCTGATAAGCTGACCCTTGGCAAAACCCCTGAAGCCTCAAGAGAACCATTTATGGAGCAGTCACTGGTTGCTGGTCTATATTTCTTTCCTAGGATGGTTTTGACCATCTGGTAACCAAAAAAATTGTCTAGAAAAATCCAGAAGTAATTCCAGTTCCCAAATGCAACCATCAAAGCACTTTTCTTCAGAGGGGCTCTGGAGTGAATGAACAAAAAACATAACTATCAGTTGGAGTCCAGTGTTGCAACCAGCAACAGGCAAGGCCTCTTGGGAGTTTCAATCAGTGCAAATGGGGACCATGTGGCACAGAATCTCAGCCTTGTCTTCAGGCTCAAGGATGCTCCATCCAGGCACCGCTGACTTTGGGGCTGAGTAATTCTCTGTTGTAGGGCTGCCCTGTACACTCTAGACTGTTTGCAATGTACTTTGGCCTCTGCCCATCAGATGCCAGCAGCATCCTCCATCCCTCCAACTGTAACAACCAGAACGGTCTCCAGATAGTGCCAAAGGTCCCCTGTGGAGCAAAAAGGTCCCAGTCTGAGAACCATGGTTCTCATCACTGTATTCCCAGGTAACTGCCTCCCTCTCCTAATCAGAAGCTGGGCTCCTACCCAGTCTGGATGCAACTGGGTTACAGTTGAAGGGTTGGCTGAACTTCACTATGCTGAGCTCGCTGCATCTCACAGGTGACTAGTCCTAACTCCCTCTTCTGTCTGGGAAAAACAACAACTACAAATGAAAACAAAAAAATCTGTTGGCAAGACTCTCTCCCCATCTGAAGGTGCAGGCCGTAAAAGCTATCTTACAGCAGGTAAATAACTGAATCAGAACATATTTGGGCTGGGCCAGCTCCATGCTACAAGCATCCCAACATTACGGGGGTGACAGAGATAGAGCCAGGAAAACAAATGTCATTTCCTCCTGTGATTATTTGAGGGTGGCAATGCAGAGGTGCCTTCAAGGTCTTTTGGGGTCAATGGTGACAAACGGGGTGGACAGGTGGGCAAGGCAGGCACTATCCTTTGTCCTCTCTAGGGCATGATTCACAGCGACAGCTCTCCTTGCAGGATAAGCACAAAGGAGCTGCATTTCTGTGTTTTGATTAATTGGAGGCTCATTCTTGGGGCTCTACGAGATGAGTGAGCAGAATTTTCCATGGCCCACTGTCTTGGCCACTGGGCCCTATCTGCAGAAGCACAGTGTTTATTTACTTTTGCATGTGTTATTTTTATCCCAGTTCAGCTGCAGCTCAGTGCGGAAGGCGTGGGGGAGGTGTATATAAAGAGCACCGAGACCGGCCAGTTCTTGGCCATGGACACCGATGGGCTTTTGTACGGCTCGGTAAGTACGACGCTGACACGCCTCCAGATGTGGCCAAGGTTTGAGGTTTCCAGAAATCTTGTCGCACCAAGTGATCCAAACTAAAAAGTGTCAATTAGCCTCTGTTTGTTATTTTTTCCAGTAGGATTCCAACCCTCTACCCTGCCTTATTTTGGGCACAAACATAAAAGAGTTTCTTGTGGTAGTTTCTCAAAATACTCAGATGAACTATCATACAGACAGAAAGGGAACCCTGATTGCTGCCAGGCGCTCATCTCAGGCCACCCTTTCCCTTAGGTTCATCCCCAAGATGTTCCTTGAGCACCTATGACATGCTATAGATGTATATCTTAATGCTCTTTATAAAATTGCCCAAACGGGAAATGGTGGCATGCTCCTTACAGTCGCAGTTGCTTGGGAGGCTGAGGCAGGAAGATCACTTGAAACCAGGAGTTCAAGTCCAGCTTGGGTGACATAGCAAGACCTCATCACAAAAAAACAAACAGGCAGGAGCCCAGATTCTAATTGTGTGTCTTACATAACACTCTGCAAATAGTTTATTCTAGAAGGATCACCTGCAAGAATGAAAACATGTAGTAACTAAATTCAAACATTTGCCACGTGGCGGCTCCTATGGTGTCTGCGTACCATCAGAGGTGTTGAAATAGATGTAAACCACAAAAAAAAGAAAGGAAGGAAGGAAGGAAGGAAGGAAGGAAGGAAGGAGAAAGAAAGAAAGAAAGAAAGAAAGAAAGAAAGAAAGAAAGAAAGAAAGAAAGAAAGAAAGAAAGAAAGAAAATAGATGTAAAGATGAAGGTCTGGAAGTGCAGTCTAATGGCAGCAAGGGTCCTCCACCTCTGCTTCTGCCCTCTCCATGGGAAAGCTCTGTGCGTTTGTTCTTCATGAGAAAAGAAGAGAAACACAGGCCATCTGACTCTGCCCCTCCTTTTACCTATGCTCAGATATGTATGTGGAGAGAGAGCTCGGGCCAGTAAGTGTGGCCTTTGCAAGTATTTCCAGATTTCAGGGACCCCTTTCTGTATCCTCAAGGCTGATAACTAAGGCTTGGTGGGATTTCATGATCTAGTCCAAGCCCTTTTTTGCTTTTATAAGATGTCTACAAAAAGCCAACCAGTAGGCTGTGTTTCATCTGCGGCTTTCTCTGACTTGTGCCAGTTGCTGAATGAGGGTGGGCACAGGCACGCCCCTCCTGATCAGTCTCAGGGGAGGTACAGGAGGGGACACAGTTGTTTTTCCTCCTTGCTGCCCACTAGGGGTCAGGACACAGACTCCTCAGGCACCTGATAACCTCTCCTGTGCTACCCACTGAAATACAGAGCAAGGATAACAGCTTGAGAGGATTAGGAGCAGAGACAGTTACTTCCTCAGAGAGAGTTTTTACTAAAGCCGTTCTTCTGCTTGGTAATAAAATCAATCAACCAGGGGCAGCTAGATAGCTCAGCGGATTAAGTGCCTGCTTAGGCAGAGTGAAGCAGCCAGGGTTTGATCCCCAGTATGCCATACCAGCCCTGCCCTAGGGGCACCCTGAGATAGTGACTGAGGCTGAGTATGGTGGCACAAGCCTGTAATCCCAATGTTTGGGAGGCTGAAAACAGGAGAATTACTACAAGTCCTATGGACCCTGTACACCCTGTCCGAAATCCATTAAAAAGGAGGGGGGGGCAGCCACATAGCTCAGTGGATTAAAGCGGCCAGCTTTTGATCCCTGGCCTGCCATGCCAGCCAGGCCCCGGGGAATGCTGAGACAGCGGTGATTGAGACTGGGTATGGTGGCGCGTGCCTGTAATCCCAGCTCTTTGGGAGGCTGATGATAGGCAGATCACTACAAGTCTAGTAGTGAGACCCTGTATGCCCTGTATACCCTGTAGACCCTTACTAAAATATACACACACCAAAAACATACATTAAAAAAATAAATCAACCAGATATTCAGCCTCAGACTCAACTGCTTCTGCCACTCTGGCAAGGAATCTGCCCACGCTGAGCCATGACGAACATGGGACAGTGACAGACAGTGCCCACCTCGTATGGAGCACCAGAAGGTTCAGTGAGATGACACTCAGAACACACCCCCAGAGTGACTGGCACTTCAGGTGCACTAAGACAAGCCCTCAGCTTGTGAACCCCCTACCTCACTGTGCCCTAGGTTATAAGACTCAGTCTTACGGCTTTTTCTTTTTTAAATCAATTTTGGTACTTATTACAGCCTTCTTTTACATATATAGAATAGGAAGGAAGAATCCTTGAATCCAGTTTCCTCTGGTTCCCAGGCAGCCCCTCTCCCTCCACGGCCCGGACTCTGATCTTAGTGCACTGCACCTAAGAATGACGACATTTTCCTCACTGATACAGCTAAGTTCTAAAGTATCTCGAAGCTCTGCATCACATCCTGAGCAAATTCTAGGCATCAACTCATTCTAATCTAAACTGTGTGTGTGTGCACAGAAAGGGTGTGTTTGTGTTTTTAAAGTTTGAAAGGCTGTAGCCTGAAATATTCATATAGTTATCTTTGGGGATAGTAAGTGGTTGACTTCACAATGGATGAAAGCTTTCTTGTGTTTTCTAAATTTCCTACAGTGAGTATATGTCACCTAAATAATAAGGGGAAAGCATGCTAAATATAAAGAAAGGAAAGCGACACAACAATAGGCATGAATCAAGTCAGTTCGCTTGCCTCCAGCACAGTGCCAGTGCTGACAAATCCTGGCCAAGGCTGCAGTGGAGCTGGGCTGCCCACTCAGCCGGTGACTCAGCCACTGTGTGCGCGTCAGCTGCTCCAGGCTAATGGAGACACATCAGGTGGGGAGTGTGGCTGTCTCACCTTTGTCGCAGAACGCGGACTGACACCCACAGAGGGGCGTCATAGGGTGAGCCCTCCCTGCAGGGGAGAGGTAACCCACTTCATCCCTCCTTTTAACCAGCTATGTTTGTCCATCCGTCAGCACTAAAGCCAGGCCTGAGTTCCTCTAGGGGGAGCAGAGTCATCCAATTAAGGGCTATATTTATATCCCATCTCCTTCCAAAGGGACCTAACGTGGGTCACCAGGTGTCACTTCCCGAGACTGTAAATGAATAAGAAGAGACTTCCTGTTACGTAGTTCCTTAATGACAAAATCTAACTATAGGCTGGGGGTGTGGATCCATGGTAGAGTACTAGCCTTGAATATATGAAGGCCTGGGTTTGGTCCCCAACACCACACACACACAATCTCTCTCTCTCTCTCTCTCTCTCTCTCTCTCTCTCTCTCTCTCTCTGTTTCTGTCTCTGTCTCTCGCTCTCTGTCTCTGTTTCTCTCTCTCTCTGTCTCTGTTTCTGTCTCTCTCTGTCTGTCTCTGTCTGTCTGTCTGTCTCTCTCTCTCTCTCTCTTTTTCTCTCTCTCTCTCTCTCCAGTTATACAGTTGCCCATATCTGAGTGATAGTTTTGGGGGGTATTTTCTTTTTTTTTTTAAGCAGAAGTTATGGTTTTTCGAAATGCAATGCTTTTTATAAGTAACAAAAAAAGTTAGTTTTGAATTTTATTTCAATTCCTACACATGTTTTATAAGGAAGGCAAATTTTGTACCAGTCTTCATGTACATATCAGAGCTGGGGCAAAATCCTTCAATTGTTACTGAAAGTCACCAGGGCAGACAGCCAATGCACCTTACCTGTGTCTGTCCACAGCCATCCCTGAAGGCCAGGCCTCCACTGGGCACTCAGCACCAGCTGCCAGGACCTCCCCAACGGGAACACTCAGCCTGAGAACAAAAGATGGAGGAGGTTTACATAACAGCAGATGAGGGTCGAAAGTTAAGGTACCCTTGCTAAGCCCTCACAGCCACCCCACCTCCCCAAGATGGGTTCCCTCATTCTACTTCTAAAGAAGAAATATAGGAGCTGGGGAGATGGCTCAGTAGAATAAGTGCTTGCCTGGCAAGTGTGAGAGTCTGAGTTCAATCCCCATTTCCGAAAAAAAAAAAAAAGAAGAAGAAGAAGAAGAAACGTAGACACACAGAGCTCCAGCAATTTGTCCAACATTGCACAGCTAGTGAGCAAGGAACCTCACTGAATACAGATAGCCCTTCCAGGTCCTCGTCTCAGTCTGGGAAGTTTATATTTGTAATCTCATTGATAAATTATTAGAATCCCATCAAGTTAATTCCAATCTACCACACCCAGTGCAACCCATAGTGAGAATAAAGACACTAAGGCATATATGTAGTTATGGGGAGCCAAGGGGTCCTAAGTCCAGCCATGGTGATGGCTATCCAGAGCAAAGGCCTCAACCCAGGGCTCAACCCTGGGTTTTATTCAGTAATGAAGGAGGAGTGGCTTGAGGATGAGTCACTGAGAGTGGCAGGAAGTAGGTGAGTGCTGTGAGCTGGGCAAGGTAGGAGGCCTGCATTCACCTCTGTGATACGCAGAGAAGGATACACAGAGAGTGATCTGCATTACATGACTGAGATCGTATCTAATTCTCTTCTGAAGGAGAGATGTAGACACACAGAGCTTCAGTAATTTGTCCAACATTTGGAGTTCGTTGCTTCAGCCCTGATGAGTAATCTTTTGAGCCACAGGAAGTCATAGCCTCCATTGCAAGGCTCAATCCCAGCTGGCAGCATGGAACATTGGCTCTTCGTCCTATCTTGACCTGGCTCATATTAAAGGGAAGCAGGGGGTTTCTGGGGAAACACTTGTACCATCTTCAAAGACTACTACCAGCACCTCAGCTAGACCAATATGCACTGCTTAAAGCCAATAAAGGGATAAGGCAAAGTCCTAGCCAGCTCTGTACCTATCAATATGTGGAAACAGGGTCAGGCTCAGCCAAAGTGGAGATAACTGCTCCTCTTTCAAGGGGAGTCACCCATGTGGCCTTCCACGGTTGAAAGTTACTCCCTAACCCTGGTACCCTCTTCTGCTTTTATCCTTCTAGCAGACACCAAGTGAGGAATGCTTATTCCTGGAAAGACTGGAGGAAAACCATTACAACACCTACACGTCCAAGAAGCACGCAGAGAAGAATTGGTTTGTTGGCCTCAAGAAGAACGGAAGCTGCAAACGTGGTCCTCGGACTCACTATGGCCAGAAAGCAATCCTGTTCCTACCCTTGCCAGTCTCTGATTAGAGAAATCTGTGCTGGGTGTCGACCACTCCAAAGGAGTCTTGAGGGACCCTCGCCTGGTAGACCCCAAAATGTTCCCCTGACCATTGGCTGCGCTAACCCCCAGCCCACAGAGCTTGAATTTGTAAGCAGTACACTTCTCCATGCCCAGTTTACTTTTTCGCAGAGCCCTTTACCCCAGCACAGTTTGGGACAGAAGAACCAAATTGCCTCTAGGGACCAGCTGGCCAGCCTGAGTCTGGGGCTGGGGGCCCAGGGGCCTCGGGGCACGGCGGCAGGCTGAGCCTGTCAGAGCAAAGTGAAGTGTTAAGGGGTCTGCTGAGTGGGTCCCTAGTAACCCTACTACTGCCTGCTACTAAGTAAGCCTTGGCTGAAGCCCCCCAAATAGCTACCCTGGCTGCCTTTTCCCTGTTCAATATTCCACAAATGTTAGCAGAAAGGCTGATTTCGAGGTTAGAAGAAGGCAGCATTCCATGACAGAAACGAGGACAGAGAAATCAAGCACAGACAGGATCTGAAATGAAACGGGAGACTGTACGTTGGCAGGCAGTTCAGAAGGCGGATCCCAATACAGAGAGCTGAGGTGGGGAGGCTTGGCCCCCGGAAGGCAGACTGAAGGCCGTGCCACTGGACTTCCCACAGTTATGAGCGGCACTGGAAGCCTCTGGCATCTGGAGAGAGCGGGCACCAGACACGGTTTCTTAGTAAAAGCAATGATACCGAGGTTGGGGAGTTCAGCTGGATCTAGAGGTGGGAATAGGGAGGGCATGGGGGTGCTGTCCTCCAAAAGGGATGACTTTAGAAGCAAGCACAGAGAAGGTGACACCACTGCTTGTGCTTAGCCACCAAGAGGCAGAGGTCCCAGGGTCCTGGCATGGGGCTCCCCCCTCAGATGCACTTACAGCTCCCCTGGAGACCTGGCTTGAGGGTAGATACTGATGGGGAGGGGCTGGGAGCAGCTTTTGTCTCCACAACCTCCCACGTCCTACAACTGCAGCTGCTTTCCCCCACCATCCTACAAGGAGCAGATCCTAAAGAACAGTATTCAAATAAAGGTGGCTAAATCCCTGAACCTCACTGCCTCTGCCTCATTGCAAACACGCCGTGACTCATCCACATGGCTGACACTGACAAAGGTTCTACAATCTGAGGTACAGGATCTCAGGATAAATTCTGAGGGGATTTCACTCACCTTATCAGACCCAAAAGCTACAACTCTTGTTGCATAGGTCCTGCTTTACCTTGGTCTTAACCATCCAGTGGAAAAGTATGAAGACGAAATATAGGAAGTAAAGCCATGTTGTTATGTTGAGCTGTGGGGGACTCAGGTCAATAATTTCTGACATTGCCAGTTAAACAGAAGACCCAATGCTATTATGGGCTACTGGACTCTTTTAGAATATTTTGCTGAGTTTACACACCTATAATATTCAAATAACGGAACTTACGGATGAATGTCCATTTTGTATCTGTGTATTCAAAGTGGTTAGGATAGATATATAGTTACATTCTCTTAATGAATAGAATGATTTGTTCTAATGGTGTTTGTAAATAGGATCTCAGGTCCTCATCTTGTACAGCAATTAACCACTAAGAAGAATGTATGCAGTGCGTTAATTATTGAAACTGTCCTAGCAATTTGATTTGAAACTGTCTCATTGCTATTTGTTTATCAATAAAATTATAAAAAAAAAAAAAACATGCACACCCCAGCGGCTCCCTCCACCTTGGGCAGCACCCACCATAGTCCAGCCTAAAGCAGGGAGCGCAGTTTTAGGGCCCTTTGGCCCAATGCCTATAAAATGCCCATTTAGAAAAACACACAAAAGCGTACTTCAAAAAAAAATGTTAAATCCTCCCAAACAGCTTCTCCCAAGAGACTATTTCTGTTACCACTACTTGTATAAATACACTTCCTGCTTAAAGTAAACGTGACCCAAGTGGCTAGCAAATTAGAAACACTATTCATCTCTGACATGTGATACTAATGCCATGGGAGGGCCTTTAATAAGCCATTTAAATTTATAGCGAGACTGTATGTTTTAATCACATTTTAAAATATATAGCTTCAAGGCAGTTAAACTCATTAGCATTCAGCCATTGAGAATGATAATAATAGTATATAATATACAAGCTACCCAGCTAATACTCACACTACATTTACTCGAGATTTTCAGCTTCCATCGCCCTGTCTCCGAATCTTCTTTTGAATATGGGTTCTCATAAGCAATAATATGTTAATTGTGGATAAAACTGATAAGAGTGTTAGCTCATGTTTTACAGGGAGCTACAGTCATTTATTAATTAAAAAATAATTCCTTATTTAATTGAACTGTCATACTTAGGATTGGGAAAAATACAACTTGAAAGTTCAAAGTGACAGCACAGCTGAGGGACTGAAATGGGCAGATGTGATAGTTAACATAGTGTAGGGCTCTTGTACAGCAAAAGGATCCAACAAACTTCTATTTTTATAATTTGGATTAAATGATTCTCTTTTATTTTTGTAAATAGTTGCCTGTAAGTTGGGGATAATACAGTTTGGCCTACCATCATTTCAGTAAGAATATCTACCCAGAAAAAGGTACCCAGAAAGGAAAGGAAGATACTTAATATTCCATAACATCCCATAATATTTATTGTGTAATCAAATTTAAGTGTAAAAATTAAATTCCATTGCTAACAGATGAGATGGTAGGCTGTGACTTCAGAGGCCCACGTACTACAGTAGGCCAAGGCCTGACAGTCCCAACCCAGCCACCATTCATATATTTGCAGCCTAGCCACTGTTCATGTATTTCCTCAGTTACTGTCACTTGCCAGGCAGTGCACTGGGCACCAGGCTCCTTGGGGACCATCTCTGTCTAGATTGCTCCTCTGTCCTCCGAAGGGTGTTACTTTATTTTGAAAGAGGCTATGGATTCATTTCTTTTAGTCAAGTAAAAATGCAGCCTTTACAGGTCACTGCTGCGTAAGTAGCAAATCCCAGATATTCAGGATTTGGATGATTTAGCAATTCCCAACATAAGATGAACCCCTAAGAAAGTGGCAGAGGGCATGGCAAAGGCAACCCAACACTTTGAACTTTAGATCTGGTCCAGGACTGCTGGAAGCAGGAAGAGAGCCCAGAAGATCTTGTGAGAAGGGAGTGGTCGGCAGATTCCTTGTGCCGCTCAGAGCACGCAAATGTGAAGCACAGGGATATTCTTGTCTGGTTCTTTCTTCCCTGAGTCAGTCTTGTCACCACGGCCTGACCTGTGCCTCTCATGTGGACTCATTTCCAGGCTGAGTGCCACAAGGGCCTGCTGCTCTGTACGAAGAAGCCGGAGCATCAGGACTTTTGAGAGTGGGATTGCAGTGGCAGTGGCTAAGCTGTCACTGAAGATAAAGTCATTGGGCCAGGGACTTGGCTCAGTAGAATAAACACTTCCCTGGCAAGCGCAAGGGCCTGAGTTCAATCCCCAGTTCTGAAAAAAAAAAAAAAATTCCCAGAAGACAAAGTCCTTCGTTTGTGTCACAGGCAACAGAGTCCATGTCCTCAGCCTTGCAGAACATTCTGCCTGATAAGGTCGGCCTCCAGGGAGGGCTACACCTGTCAGCTGCTTCCCTCTGTCTTCCTCTCCCTCGATCCCCTGCTGTTTGCACCTTACCAATATTAATACATGCCCAGTGATTTACCTGACATGCCTCTGAGTTTCTGAACAGCAGATCCCACATCTCTCTATGGAAGGAAAGTTTCTCCAGTACTCTGAGACAGGGCGTCCTCATTTTCTACATTTACCTTGTTACCAGAAATAACACATAATGGCTGACAGGAAATTCTCACACAAAAACATTTTTCATTTGGTTTGGGAACATAAGCCAACATTACTAATTTTCTAGGTTTCTGGTAAGAACATACATTCAAGAAATTCATCCCCTCAGACAACATCCAAAAAATCACTTAAAACTTTTTCTTTATAAGATGAACCATGTGAAATTCTGCCACTGTTGTCAAATTGACTGGCCTCTCATTAGGCAAAGATGAAACAGAAATATTTAAGGGCTTACTTATAATTTTAGGTCAATACCTCAAGAGCCCTAATGTGGTGCTATAGAATTCACTTGTCAGATTTTCTGAATTATCTCACACAGCGATATTTCCTTAAGGAGGAACCTCTGAATCTTACCACTTCTTATTCCCAGGGTGCACTATACCGGTGTTGAGTACATCACGGAGGAATTAGGTCACATACTCAAGTGCGTGTGGACACACATGTGCCCATGAACCACCCATAAAAGAAACTGGCCGGTGTGCTCACAGTGCTCATCACACACTACCAGCGCTCCTTTTCTTTCCCAAGTTGCCAGAAGTAGATCTTTTCTACTGTTTGGAGCTTGCTCCACAAAAGAACTACATTTTTCATTACAAGCCAGCTTGGCATTGGTGGTTCCATGGTAGAATTCTTGCCTGCCAAACCAGCTTGTACAAATCCCTTATACACACATACACACACACACACACACACCGCTGAAACAAAGAAGTCACAAAACTCTGGTGGATATACTTTGGTCTTTCTAATGCCACTAAAAATTATAGGTCAAATATCAGTTAAATCAGGTCCTGCCATTAAGGGGGTCACAACCACAGTTTGAAAAACACTGGCTCATGGCAATTGTTCTCTTTCCTAAAGATGGAGAGATCCAATTAGGATGCTGCGTTATGACTTTAGCGTTTTCCGAGACACGGTTCATTCTTGAATAAACAAAGACAAAAGGACATCCTGTGACCCAGGCGCCATCTGTTCTGAAGCTCCATGAATTCTGTTGGCTGTGTTTGCCACTAATCATGCAAAATGAAGGTAACAATGCAGATTTCACGGGCACCACTGCCGCCTCCCATGCTGGGGGAGCAGATGTCTGCTCCAGGGAGCCCGGCAGCCCTTCGCCCACTTCTTCCTCTTTTGGAATTCTCACAGCTTTGCTGCTTGCACTTATTCCCTAACTCCCCCCATCTTCATTCATCTCTCTCTCTCTCTCTCACTCTCTCTCTCTCTCTCTCTGCCCTCTAAAGTAGACTGTGTGAGAGGATAAGCCCCTGATGGGTGAGCTTGACCAGAAAGAGAAATCTATAAACGAAGTCGTCAAGTTTTCACATCTATCTGAATGAGGTTCTGTTTGTCACAGAGTAGGCAGGAAGGGGTAACTCAAGTCCCAAGCACGTGTGGTTTGTTATGTTGCTAATCACGGCTCATCAAACAAATTTGTCTTCAACTGTACTTTCACAAATTGACAAAACTCATTTTTTGGTCAGGGAGATAGCTCAATGTAATAAGCACCTGCCTCACAACCACAAGGTCCTGAGTTCGATTTCCGGTTCAAAAAAAAAAAGCACCTCATTTTTTTAGGAGCAGTAGTGATACTGTAGGAACAGTTAAGCCCACTAGAGAGGTGGACCTGCATGTTCCCATTTGAAAAGTACTGGACATGGATGGGCACAGTGGTGTGTCCCTGTAATCTCAGTTACTCGAGAGGTTGAGGCAAGAGAATCAAAACTTCAAGCCTAGCCCAGGCAACTTAGCTAGCCCTTATCTCAAAATGAGAAATAAAATAGGCTGAGGATATAGCTCAGTTGTAGATTGCTTCCCTAGTATATGGGAGGCCCTGGGCTCAATCTCCAATACAGATAGATAGATAGATAGATAGATAGATAGATAGATAACAAAAATAAATAAGAAACTAGACATGATCTGTATGACAATTGTTAAAGTATCATACTTTGCTAGTAAAAGTGGTATGACGTCTTTCCTAGTCTCCTAAAACTTGCTCTCCACTGCAGAAAGAAACACTATTTGTCACTGCATATAAACCTTACTCTAAAATGTAGGCGGGGAATTCAGAACTGGAAGCACAGGATGTGACACAAAGCACGCCAGTGCCCAGCGATCCCACCAACAGTTACAGAGGCGATGCCCTGAATGGCTCCTAGACTGTGCAGCACTAGACCTGCTTTGTGGTTGACATATTGCCAATGACATGTTACGTTGTTGGCTTTCCACCCTAGTTACAAAATTAAAGAGAGAAACGAGGTCACACACAGCCTGAAGCC